GCATATTTTACAAAATATGTGACATTCAAAGCCACTTTTTGCCTTTTAACTCCGACATTAATTAGGAAAATGACTATTTGCGATGTTCGTTTTGCGAAGTTTAATAATTGATAATAAAGTTTTCATTTTAGACTAATTGAGCATAAAAAAATAATTATTTTGTTGCAAGGACCACTTGAAGAAATAAATATCAGTTCCTTTGCCGGTTTATGCTCTCAATACTGAAACGAGTAATTTGCATGTCTGATTATTTGCAAAATACATTGATAACAAACATTTTCTTGTAGTTATTTGCGGCATTTTAAGCCAGACGTTAACAGAACTGATCCGAGGCCCAAAATTGACCGTTTTTTTTATTTATTATTATAGATATAAATCTTAATGAATATCTAGCAAAGATATGTATTCATCAGTGGTGTATTTTAAGAAGCTGAGTGTTAAAAATAGTGCCCCAGATAACTTATTTTTATCGAACTGAACTTCGTGTATCCACGCAAAGATTGAGTTTATTCCCATTGCAGATGAAATTATTGTTATCATATTAATGAGGAGTAGTCTGTACAATCATTCTTATTGATGGTGCAAAAATAGCAAAGTAGTCTTTATGATTGCAAGTGTTTTTAATTTTAATCCTGTTGCTTCTTTTATTTTCTGTTTCTTATTAACGCCGAACGATAATTAAATTCGATTTTCTTCGCTCTCAAAATCGAGATGGTAGAAGACATCAAAATGGGAAGAAAATGAATGTTCAAATTCGAACTCAGCAAGAGCAGGAATTGATCTGTGATTTACAAATAAAGCAAAAACGTTGCGTGAAAAAATCCACATCATGAAATATTTATCCACAAAATCCAAATCATAATATATTAAGGGTTTATATTAACATATATACAACATATAAACATGTTTGATAGGTCGACTTCTTCCGAACTTTATTGAAGATCATCGTGAGACAATCTCTATAATGACAATCTCTATAAGATCAATCAATATAATGTGAAATTCTTCGAATAAAATATGTTTAATAATATAATTTAAAACTAGTACATTTACCAGGACGGTGGAATCTTTTGAACCGGTAGAAATCTTATTTGGGTTATGGTTGACATTAATTTAATTAAAATCTTTTATTTCATTAATTGATTTCAAGTTAAATAATCCTTATTTTTTGATGTGCTAGAAATGGAAACATTTATCTTAATCAGACAAATTTACACATGTGCTTATGAGAGCACTATGATTAAAATTCCTCAATAAAACTTTCAGTCATTATCACCAGTAATGTTAAGATTCTTACAAATCACAGTTACACTTGAATTGTTTTCCTTTTAATATATTTCCGCTTTTATTGCAAAAACTAAATAATTAATCATCTTACACATTTAGAATTTCTAATCTGTTTCTTCAACCTAAATTTGTCACGGTAAATTACAAAACATTAGCTTCATACAAGCAAGCAAAATGCATATATTTGTTGTGATCATTATTTGCATTGTTTATCGGTTCAGTTTGCTTAAGACTTTCCTCAAGAATTGTTCAAATGAAATCTCATTTATCAAATATTTACATTTACTACCGTATGAAATAAGGCGAGCAATAGACCCTGTGTAAGTTGAAGTTTTTAGTATTTGCCAACACGACAGTTAAATTAAAATTAAACATTAAAAAAAATATTGTATAAATGAAGAACATTATTTCAACTCAAGTAAATTCATTTGAATGATACACTTTGTTACACACGCCTATGGATTTCGATAGGAGGGCTACATAATTATTTATAAATTTGTGAAGAATGATTTGAGTTAATAATGCCTCTTCAAAAATTTTCTGAGGGGTGAAGTTTTGTTTGAACTGTAAAACTGCCATTAGAAAGTCATCTCTTGTAAAAAAAATACTCTTTTTGCACAATGGTTTGGATAAGAGACATAAAATATTACGATTTCAAGGAGTTTTGGAGAAAATAAACTTGGGCGTAAGGCAATGTCAAGAAAAGTATCTAATTATTTTAAGGGCGGCCAAAAAGCTGCATGCTCCATGATGATGATGAAATTCCAAACCACTTTCTTCAACTAGAAAAATCGGAAATCATCATATAAAAAAGCTCCACAACAAAACAAAACAAAACATTGTTTTTTAAATAGTTTACGCCTTTGCTTGCTTACTAACTACTTCACTGTTCACACGGTTAGTCTTGATTGAGCACAATAATTTCTAGAATATTTTGATAGTAAAGTGTACTTTCACATAAAATGTATAATGGATTTATATTTAGTTTTATCACAACTGTCTTTGCGGTTCTGTATTTGCAAAAACAATGGAAAAACTTAATTCCAGTTCAACAAAACTTCAAAGGACGCGTGGTTCAAAATAACTCGTTTAAAAAGTTGCAATATATTTTTTTTTAATAATCGAATAACTATTCCAGGCAATTGTTACCATGAAAAAGTGCAAGTCACTGTTTGAAAAGATAGCAACAAGTTATTTAAAGCATTGAAAGCGCAAGATTGGAAAAACACTTCGAGTAAGCAACTAGGGAAATTTAAAGAAAAATTTGTAACAAAAAGAAAAAATATTAGGAACAAATAAAACATCAGAAAGCTTCCGCATCGGAATTGGAAGGACTTTTGAAAAAAAATATGTATCCAGACAGAAGTCGGGGATTATCAAACTGCTATTTTTATCAGCGCGTTATTCCAGGTTTAAATATATCTTCGCGTTATTGGAACATAAATAAAATTTTTGGAAAGCTCCGAAAATTAACCGGCACTTTTCGGTCGTCTACACACATTTTCCGATTTGCAATTTTTAACTAGTTCGCGACGAGTGCGTGATAACTGACACAGTTTGTGTGTTTTTCCCAGTGCCCATTTTGGTCGAATTGGTGATTTTTTGTTGTGATTTTCATGGATTCTTAAGGTAAAGGAAATCGTTTGATTGACGTAATACAGATTTTCAATATTAGTAAAACTTTAAACTCAATTAGTAATTAATTATTTATTAGTAACTGCTGGTTTTCCCAATGAGACGACCGCGATTGTCAAGTTCGTAAATGCTTTCTAAAATGTTTTTTGTTTAGGAAAGTAACCCTGACGTCCAGTTTCTTATACATAAAACAAAAGCTCAGCTGRAAATTTCTTAGATTTGGCTAGATTTGCCGACGAATCTGCAAAAGGTCAATTTTTGTAAATATAGCCAGACTTCTAAAGTACAATTTGAGGTTGCTTACCAAAATTTCCTAGTTATTTAACATAACAATTTGCATTGTAAAGTTATTGTTTTCTATTTTCTATAAAATGTCTCGTTTGCTCAGAGTTGTAATAATCACGATTTTGGTTTGTATCCATTTTATTTTATTTTTTTGTTTTTATTGGTCTCTGTCTCACGCTCATTGGAAAGTTGTTGCTGTTTGTCTTATGAACATTTTGCTGTGTTGATGGACGATAAATAATTTCTCAATTAATATAACTTTAAAATTAAACACATTTGCACCAGTCTCATTGAAACTAAACAGGTAAATGTATGAAACCAATGGCAAAATATTTAAATTTGGACCCTCGGAAGTGCCAAAAAATGAGTGTGTCCTTATATTTTCAATAAGAACGTGGTTGAGCACTAATAACATCAATTACTTTATAAAAAGCAGTATTGAAAAGAGACGACATTGGTAAATCCATATAAGGGTTTGGCAATTCCTATCCCTATATGGATAGCGAGGTCGCTTATCTTCCGATTTCGCTTTCTTTGTAGTTTTTTGATAGTATGATCAAGTATGTGCTCAACCAATATTCAGCTTAAGTTCGCTTAATCATTTTAGCAAATATGAATCAACGTAGAACGAATTGTTTACTTTATACATATTTTAATTTATAAGCACGGTTATTTAGCATTTTAATGAATACTATATTAACCACGCTAAGTTAATCAAGCATTTTGCAATCGCTTTTGATAAAATTGGAAATACAAATTTCTAAGCTTTTTAGAGAAATAAAATTTTAACTTTGTCTCTTGAGGGTAAACCTTCGACTTTCACTGATCATTAGTAATAATTTTGTTGCAAACTTTTTTACTGAACGCCAAGCAACAGGTTTTTTTAAGCAAAGAATACATTCGTTTGCTTTCTATTAAAAACGACTGAATTCAATTAAACGTTACGATTGAAAGCAACATTTTTTCGTCACAAATGTAGCAATAAAAAATGCTTATATTGAAAATGACTCAAACTCTTCATTTTTCGACTGTTTTGTCGTTCTTTTTTTATAAATATTGTTCCTTCCAACTTCCAGTTGTATATTTATAGAGAATGTGTATTTATAGCAGCAAAACTTAAAAAATTGGAAAACCCATGCAGGATTTAAAATGCTTCATTTTTCAAGATACAGGATGTTTTCGCTATTTTGGAGTAATGCCCTGCATTTATTCTTGCGATTTTGAATACCGCCGGGAAGCTCATCGATTTTCAATTTACTTCTTTGCGTAAAACGAACTTTACGTAACGCTCACATGGATAGTAAAAAGTGTTAACTTCTTAAAAAAAAGTTTTTTGACGCAAATTAATACACAAAGCAATAAAGCGAATGTAGATAAACAACAATAGCTTTTTTGCTGTTCCCTCAAAATGCAAACAAAATAAAAACTAGAGAGTTTTGAAGAAACTGTTTTTTTCTTTTTTGAGAAACGTTGTCCAAAAAAACTTACTTAGACTTAGGGATTGCTTTGGTATCCCCTTTATGTGCAAAAGTAAGTATTTGCCCAACTCCACTTAACTAACTTAATAAGCAAATCATATTCTTCCCTTCTTCAAAATAAAAAATCATAAAAAAAGTTATGTTATCTTATGTTTCAGGCTTCCTTAAAGTTTTAGTACACAACGCAGGTTTCAGAAAAGAGAAATTTTTGAACCCAAATATTCCTCCAGTATCATGCAAGTTTATTCTTATTAAATCAACTTTTTTGGCGCCCTTATCAATATAAAATATATAAATGCATCTTTCAATTCGATATATTGAACAAAACAGTTGTCTCCTCTTTATTCAGTATATTCAACTTAGTAAATACGACTAAGTAAATTCAAAAGTTTACAAACTTCTTCTGCTAAGGCTATAATTTTCGTTTTATCAAATATTTACTGACTCTCACTTTCAGTAGTGAAACAGCACTTCACTCAATTGATAACAAACTCTTTTACACCTCTTAAGACAAGCAACTCAAGTTTGGTCTGCACAAAATCCCATCTGGTGCACGTAAAACAGATTCATTCATAAAGTTTGCATCTTGTCATTTCAATGATGAAAATCCCAGTTTCACGATTTGCTCCATTAAGCGTGAAACAGCCGCGATTTTCATGATTATTCTTTGATAACGTTGAGGGATTCGGATAGCAATTTCAACATGTTATTCATTACTTTTAAGCGCAGATTCGGATTTGTTTCACGTGTTTGAAAAAAATATTCCCAATAATTTTTGAAACATGCCGATGTAAAATGTGGCATGTTCTTGTCGTACCAACGTTAAATTTCTTTTCTTAATGTCGGTTCATAAAATGCATGACTTCTGCACGAAAAATGTGATAACTTTGACGAAAAAATCAATTAAAACTAGAGATTTAAAAAAAATATTGTTTTAATAATTTTAAGGCTTTCTATTACGGAAAGGAAAGAAGTCTTCGTTTGACTAAATTCCTTATCTTTCGCAAAGGGCCACCCTGCCTACGGATAAGATTTTTGAGAATTTTTCTATACGTCTTTTGTCAAAACGTTTTTTGTAAGCCTCGCACGTACATAAGCGTTTCGGCTCTCCTTGGCCTCAATAGCTTTAAATATAGTGATTTAAACTTAACCTCATCGTGTGTTAGATCTAATAGTCAGTAAAACGTACATACTTGAATTATTTTTAGATTTTAAAGCAAATACTTGGTTTTTGGTTCAAACTCCGTGTGATTCATCAGGCCGCCCCAGCATTAGGTTAATATTATGGCAAGTATTTAGCAGCCATTTAAAATAGGTTTTCTTGACCATTTCGACCCAGCTCTATTTTCTATACGGATAGCATAGAGAAAGTAAAATAATTATTTTACTTACTCTATGACGGATAGGTCTCAGTTCAATGCCAACCAAAAGTGAGTCATTTCACTGTTGAAACTTGAGAAGTGGCAGTCACAGCAAGAGGTTTGTCATAAATTCCTAAATGCCCACTAAGTACGAAAAGAACTCTTTCGATTGAGAGGCGGCGTCTAGCGTCCGGCTTTTGTTCGCTGAATGAAGCAATATGCAACCCAGAAAAAAGATATGTACGATTTATGGACCTTTTAGCTCTTAAGTATGTCGAACTGTCGCCAACGCAAGTGGGTGTAAAGTGTATGCATAGCCGACCAATGCCCAGTCTCTTAATTCATATGGTCCAATTCTTAGACCACTTTGCTCGATCGTAAATAACGTCGTTTTCGTATGGATATGATCAACGTAAACCCCAGTCGGCGTAAATAAGAATGTTCAATCATTTTTTTATATTTAACAGCTGAATATATTCAAAACAAAATCGTCAATCAAAACGGTTTTAAATAAACCTACCAACCATGCTTCTTATAATTAACCTTAACTTTGTGATGACTCTTATGTGTGTGATGATGGCTGCTGCCATGTTGATGCTTATGCTTATGCTGATGATGAGCTTTGTGCTTGTGATGGTGCTTCGCTCGATGCTTGTGCTCATGATGATGATCATGTTGGTGTTCCGATTTTTCCTCATGTGAATGTTTGGCTTCTTCTTTGTGTTTGTGACTATGATCTTCCCAATGCTCATGCGCGTTTTTGTGATGATGGTCGTGTTTATGTTCGCCTTTGTGATGGTGTTTGTGGTTCTGATGGTGCTCGTGCTTATGTTCGGCGTGAACTTCATGAACATGTTTACCCTGGTGGTGATGATCATGTTCTTGTTTGTGATGATGCTTGTGATCGGCGTGCGATTTGTGCTCGTGATGATGTACAGATTTGTGTTCGTCTTTGTGCTGATGTTTGTGCTCTTGAACATGATCGTGTTCGTGCAAATGTTTGTGTTGGTGATAGTGAATTTCGTTTTTGTGATGATCATCGTGATTATTTCCTTTTTCGTGACCGATGAAGTTTCTGCGACTGCTTTGGGCTTCTTCGTGTCCTGTTTGAGTTGTTCGGTCAGTTTTATCCGTTTTTCCATGTGTAAATTGTTCTTCGACAGTACGCTCTGCTTGCTCCTCTAACGCCACATCGTAGGAATCGTCTTCTGATCGAGAATGGTTACTTTCTTCGTTAGCGCGTTTAGTTATTTCATGTGCTTGCTTATTTTGTCTAATTAATCCTGATGGTGGAGACGATGGTCTTAATTGTGCATGATGAAAAATCAGTTCGACTTTAGAGGTATCTTTAGATTTTCTCAACAAAGGGCTGAGTTCATATGCGTCTATTTGATGAGCAAATATAACGAATGTAAATGACACAAGTAGAACATTGCGGTCCTGAAACAGATCAAATATTGCCTGAGCGAGAAATCAATAAAATTCAGAAAAAAATGATTCAAATCTTGCAATAATTGATGTTGTAGGTGTGAAAATTTACCGAGAACTCTACACGAGCTCAACATAGTTTCAATGTTTATTCTACAATTACATACTCTCCAAATGTCTTGTAGTATTAGAGATTAAACATTTCCAAGACAAAGTATTCTGTTTATGTTATTTTTGTAGCGTTTGCTACGTTAAAATATTAATATATACGACTATACACATAAATACTAATTTATTACTTTTTTGGAGGAAAGGAAACTTACCCAGCCTCCCATGATGCAAACCTAAATTATTGAACACCAAGCTGAGAATGACTGATAGCAATAATTGCCCATTTCGCTTTTATAATAAGTTTACAGAGTCTTCGGATGGCTGCACGATACAGTGCATTCACGCACGGAAGATGTTTTTTCAATTATTCTGAAACTACACTGTCTAACAAAATATTACAATTTAGGAAATTGGGTTCTCTGAACTTTCATTGTTATCTTAAATTTACATTACATATGTATATAAAAAATGTTTAAATTAAGCTGTTGTTTTCGCAATATTTCGATTCTTCAAAACAGTCAAACTGGTCTAGCAACCATTATTAATTAAATCGTAATAATGCAAAACTTATTAAAAACTTATTTATGTGTAAATTCGAAAGTTTTCTTCGGATCACAAAATTATTAGAATATTTGTCACTATTTTTAGTGATGTTGTCGCTCCAGTTGATATCAGCAAACAAAGTATAAGCAAAAATAGGTTCTAATAGTTTTCTGACCCGGAAAGAGCTTTCCAATTTTTTCAAAAAGTTGTTTCTATTTATATTCGTTTAGTTATTTATGATTTATTGATGCCTAGATAACTGACTAGATAATATACATATCAACAGCGGCAAAAAAGTGTACCAATGGAACAAGGCAGATTGAAATGCAAGCATTACGAAGAGAGAAAACACAACAAATCTGCAACACCCAGCAGATAGAGCATGTGCTAAAACATAAATGTGTTTTTTTCTTTCCTATACACAGATTTACATATCTGTCGTGTTCGGCTCATATATAATATTTATCTGCAACAAAAATATGGGCACTTTTTCCCGGCGCGTATATCAAATTACAAGAATATTGTTTTACAATTGTTGTGTTAAGATCATTATTCATGTAACAATAAACACAAAATTTCAACACTTACCTAAACGAAATTAATAACTAAGATAATGGGGAATTCAAGCAGTGTATGAAGTCTATCAGGTTATTGCTTTGTCTTCTGAATCTTATTATTTACAACTGGCCATAAATCCGCGATTACTTTCCTACATTACCGGGCTTTAATTAATTTTCTACACATGCCAATGGTGCAGTAAGTGTAGTGATATTGTGTTAACTAGAATTTAATATTTACGCCAAAATTAGCGAATTAGTTAACACTTTAAATAGCTTTCTATATTTGTGTATTCACGAGTTTGTAAATAATTGTCTAGATTTGTTGCCATTTGTTTTGCCCTATTGGAACTTATGATCAAATGCCATATTTGTTGATAGCACCTGAAACAAATCGAATCCAAGTTATGCGTTTAATTACATAATAGTTGCAGTCTCAATCATTAATATTTGTGCCTACATATTTTACATTAATTCAATTTACTTTCATTTCAATTCAATTTTATTTTCTACACCCCAGGAATTTGCAGCAAAAAAAAACAATTTCTCTTGAGGAAAAACTTACGAAGCAAGCAGCCAAGATTTGAAAGTTTAAGGATACGAATATTCATTCAATTCGATTTTTATCAATGAAGAATATTGGCGCATCACTGAGCTTTCCATATCACTTCTCCTTGTCGGTAAAAAATAGTTTTCTTCAATACGTTTTATTCATGCCTGGCCATGACAAAAACAGTACGATGTATTTTAAGCATAATTGAGCATTTTCATGCATTCCTGTATTGCTTTTTCGCTACTTTTGAACATGCGATCCATAATTACCTCCGTTCAATATGCTTCTGGGTGGAAAGTCACTTATAAATTAATATCGCGTGAATTATCACTCAACAGTCTCAGCGTGTTGTGAAGCAGTTAAGTGACGCACCAACATGGGAGCAAAAGTGGGTAAATTCAAAAAACAAATAAAAAATCTGAAAGCAAATATAATTTTGTAGGTTTTCGCAGTGATAGCGCTTCTTTTAGCTTCTCCTATCAAGTCCAGTACGCCGGCAACAATACAACCAAACCCTGAACTTCAGCCTCAATTGGAGCCAACTAAGGGGCTATTTATTGGGGCTTTACCTCTACAAGCGCCCCCAAAACCCATTGATGTTCCAGTTAAAGCTGCAAGTAGCAATTACGTGCCCTACGGTGTTTTACCCTTATCCCAAGAAGACGCCCTCAATAATCCCAACACAAAATCTCTTGATATCGCCCCTGTGGATCCAGGAGAATACTCCAATATTGGACTGGAAGTTAGTGATGTAGAAAGTGATGCAGATGCTTACAACGATGAAGACTTGCGCGATAGAGACACATTTGTGGATACTACTGGATATAATCAATATGAAAGCCATACGAGTTTTAACCTCGAAGGCCCAAAGCAGCTGGAAACGATAGACACTAAAAGCTACCACAAAGAGGTCGAACCTTTCGCGACGAATGAATATTCGAAACATCACCACAAAGAGCAGGAGGAACATGCAGAAGTTCACTACCATCAGCACAAGCATTTGCATAAACACCAACATAAACAGGACCATGTCCATAAGCATAAAGAAGAGCACAAGCACCAACATGGCCATAAACACAAGCATGAAGCGAATCACGACCACAAGCATCAACAGGATCACCAACATCACCACCACAGCGAGCACAAGCACAACCACCATAACCACCATGAGCACCAACATAAGCAAAAGCATAAACATGAGCACCACCATGGGCATCAACACAAGCACAAGCACCAAGAAGAACACAAACATAAACAGGAGCATAAACATAAACACGACCATTGGAGTGATCACAAACATAAGCACTGGAACGATCATAAGCATGACCATCATCATGGACACAAACATACTAGCGATCACAAGCATGAACATAAACATGACAGTCATCATAATCATAAGCATGGCCATAAACACGAGCATAAACACAGCCATCATGAGAGCAGCCACCATTTCCACCATAAGGAGAAATGGTAGCTGGTTTAGACTCAAGTTGAATTGTTGCCGCTTTGACTAGTTAAAATAAAATGTTACATGATACGTTTGTGTTTTCAATTTCACTCGATATGTTTTCCCATTTCAAGTAGTGCGGCTGGTTCTAATTTAGTCATGCAACGCGATTATTGTAAATATTGAATCATGCATTTGCATCGATTATGGTAATGTGTATAGAGGGTGATTCGCTAAGAATGGAATATCCGGAAACTGTAGATTTTACAAGTGAAATGGTGGCATTAGCGTAAAGGATGCCTTATACAAAAGTTGATCTTTTTCTTCTTCTTCAGCCAATTGTTGCCCACTGCAGGACATACGCCTCTTCCAATCACTTCCCTGCATGAGGCTTGAGCGGTGCTGCCAATGGGCGCCCGCTGTTCTCTTCATATCATCTAGCAATCTTTTTGGAGGTCTACCTATGCTCCTCCTTGTTTCTATCGGTTGTTTTGTCCATTGCCATTTAATGATGTGATGATATGGTATCGGTGACTTACGTTCTATGGTAACTTTATAATCAATATTTCCAACATTTAAAGTAATAACATTTTACCCTGAAGGTGTAACATCAAATTTAGCTCAAAATCTAGGACAGTAATTTACAAATCTCAATATAAATTCGGTTGGTATGTTTAATATCGATATTTCGTCCCCTTTTTGAGATAAATGCATTCAACGAACGCTAGGTTTTTAAAATACTCATTTTAAATATTAAATGTAAAATTGAAAATAATTAATCAAACTAATTGTTCAAAGTGACCACCCAATGGTGGTGATGAGTGTATCAGTGTCAATACACTTCACACAGCGTTTCGTTAAGAGACCTTCGAATTTGGAAAAACATATTGGGATTAGCTAATTTCGTTGTCAGAACTTTGTTTACCACTTTCCTTGCAACAATTTTTTACGCGAACCAATAGGATCTTTATAAACTCTATCCTTCATTTGAGACCAAATTGAAAAATCCAGAGGCTTGCAGTCCGGACTACTGGGTGGCCAAGCAATATCGCTCCCACGGCCAATCCAACGATTTGGAAAAGTTGCATCTACTTAAATTTGAAATTCCTAGCCCATTCATTTTCAAAATAATTCGAAAAAAACATTACGATATCTAACACCCTGTATGACCACCATCAGACTTGTAGTATCTCCAAATTTCGAATTTCCCATTCTTAGTGAATCACCCTGTACAATTTTGTGCGTACAATGTATAAACTGGATATTTTTATTTTAAGATCATTTATAGTTTTTATAAGATGGAAATGTAACCTGATACATTTTTTCTCTAATTTTAGACAGGCGCGGCTTCCTTGCGTAGGTGCGGACATCGGGCATATTCTACCATCCAACGGATATTTACCAACGGTTAAGTTAAAATCCGAGGTAAGATCCGCATCGTCACTATTACTTTACATCCCAGTTTAGTAGAGTAGCTATTAAACCAAGAAAAACAGCAGACTGATTCGCCGTTCACATTTTCTTCAATTTTTTGCACTTTCCAGTCATTAAATACCAATATGGATCCTCCACAATGTGTCCAAAACGCGATGATGACAAAAGACAAGAAGCCCTTTACGTACACCCCAGGTGGTATTGATCTCTCTGAGGTTCGCTCACCTCGAATGCAACGTCGCATTGAATGCAACGCCAATCTGGGGGGTGCAGGCGATATGCCGCAGCCTCCACAGCCTCATCACCAAAATGTCGGCCCTCTTCCTCCTGCTGCTCTGGCTGCAATGCGACCTCAAACGCAGGTACATGGCTTAGGACACCTGTTAGACTTCAATGATCACTGTAATTTTATTTAGGTCCAAGTCTTTCCTGGTCCACCTCCACCTCCACCCATGTCTAAGGGTATTCCTCCTCCCCCTCCACCTCCGACCTGCCCACTTCCTACGCAAAAAGTAACAACGGGTGATAACCAAGTGTTAGAGAGGCCCGACATGACCAAAATTATTCCTGATAATCCCATGGCACTGTTGAGAAAAACCGGAGGACCTGCTCCAAGAAAGTCCGTAGTGGACCAAATGTTTGAGGAACAGGTCAGACAGCCACCTGCACCTCCTCAGAGGAACTTGGAGGCTCAGTCGCCCAGATACCCGCCCAATGTTGTAGGTGTGTAAACAGAACATACTATTTCCTGGATAGGTTGATTCAGACAGTCTCTTTACAGAACGGCCAGGGCCAGTTTCCCCACCCATTCAGCAGCAACGTCAACCCCAAGTATACCAGCAACCCCCTCAGCAATATCAACCTCCAACTCCTCCACAAAATCAGTATCAACCAGCTCAAAGTCCTCAAGCTCAATATCAGCCTCCTCAGGCTCAATATCAACCTCCGCAGCCCCAATATCAGCCTCCTCAAGCCCAGTACCAGCCCGTTCTGGTGCAGCAAAGATCTACTGACTCGCCGAAACCGGCAGGATTTCATCCTCCCATTATTGAAAGACAGCAGACTTTGCCCAGACAGGAGCAGCCTCAGAAAAATGTTAGCTCTAGTGTTGGATCCTTGTACATACCTCCACTTCAACAGGTGAGTTACGGTCAGGTTCCATCCAAAACTGGATTAAGCTTTATGGTATTTTTATTTAGTTTAGTGGACATTTTTAAATGGTTACTTATAAAAATGTTTTAGCAACAAAAGGTGCCAACACCACCTGAGCGGGAACCTACAGTTCAATCACCTGGAGCTACTTTGAAAGAGGCGCCTCGTCCATGGCAGCAACGTGCTCCGCAGCAGGAAATCCCCCCTTGGGCTAAAAAAGAAGACGTTGAGGTAAGCAATTTGATTTAGATGGATCGCTTGGGCGTCAAAGCTAAGAATAAAAGATCGACACAACTTAAACAATTATGCATGACCCGATTTGTGGTTGTACACATGTGTTACGAAAAAACCGTTTCTGCATAGAAGTTTCTACAGGGATTGCCTCTTGAGATATTTGGAGTTTAATGTTCACCGCACCTCTAGTGAAGTAATTATTCGTACAGTTGCCTCGTTAAATATTTGCGAGAATGCAATTTTAATTAATAATCCATGCACCCAAAGGGACTGGGAAGAGAACAAAACCTGATAAATCAGACAGTTTGGAAGGTTTTTCTCGTCTCGGCACAACAAACATCTTGGAATATAAACAAATGTTGAAGCTTCGGGATGAACTGATTTGAATGTGAAAATTCAACATTCCATTAATTCAGAGTTTTTGTTCCTCCGCGTAGCAAATAAACTCTAAACTCGTACAATGTTCAATTTTTTGTCCAATTAGTGTCGTGAACAAAGGGACTGGGTTGGATGTCGATGTTGTGCCGAGCCTTTCGGGCACGACATTGCAAAGGGAGCAAAACCCGACAAACCAAATAGTTACGAAGGTTCTGCGCTTAAAATCCGTGTCGTGCACGGAAGGCTTGGCACAACAAACACATTGAAATATAAAAAAATGTAGAAACTGTGTTGTGCCCGAAGGGCTCGCTGATTTCAATGCGAAAATAAAACATTCAACTAGATTTGAGTGTCTTTTCCTAACGCGGCGCAAAAAAAACCTCAAAACTCGTACATTGTTCACTTTTCCGCCCAATGAGTGTCGTGTCCGAAGGACTCGGCACAGCAACCACATTGGACTTGGTTGACAAGAAACACATTGAAATCTAAAAGCATGTCGAAGTTGTGCCAAGCCCTTTGAACACGAGACTGATTTCAATGTGAAAGTTCAATATTCAACTAGTTTAAAGTTTTTTCTTCCGCGGCGCATAAATACCTCTAAACTCGTACATTGTTCACTTTTTTCATCCGATCAGTGTCGTGCCCATAGGGCTCGACATAATAAATACATTGGACTGGGTTAGAGGTCGATGTTGTGCCGAGCCCCTTGCGCACGACACTGGTCAGAGAACCCGATAAATCATAGTTTAAAAAGGATTCAAATCAGTGTCGTGCTCACAGGGATCGGCACGACAAACACAATGAAATATAAAAGAATGTCGAAGTTGTGCCTAGTCCTTTGAACACGACACTGATTTCAATGTGAAAATTCAACATTCAAGTAGTTAAATGGACGCGGCGCAAAAAATCTCTAAACTCGTACATTGTTCACTTTTTTCGGCCAATCAGTGTCGTGCCCAAAGGACTCGACACAAAAAATACATTGGACTGGATTGGATATCGATGTCGTGTCGAGCCCTTTTGGCACGACACTGATTTGAATGTGAAAATTCAACATTCAACTAATTGAGAGTGTTTTTTTCTTCCGCGGCACAAAGAAAAACCTCTTGCCCATTGTTTACTTTTTTCGTCCAATCAGTGCCGTACCCAAAGGGCAGAACAAGTACATTGGACTGGGTTGGATGTCGATGTTGTGCCGAGCCCTTCGGGCACAACTCTAACACGATATAAACTTGTCCATTGTTCACTTTTGATGCAGCAGAAAAATAATTACAGCTCTTTATTAAGTGCCCTATTTTTTTGTTAAAATTGCATTTTGAAATAGTTAACGAACTATTCAGCTGTACGAATAATTACTTTATTACAGAACAGATGCGGTGAACTTTAAACTTCAAATATCACAAAAAGAAATTCCTCTAGAGACTTCTATCAAGAAACTGTTGTTTCACAAAATACGTGTAAAAACATAAAAAAATATGCTCTGACAGCGTTATCGGATTCTAAGTTCCCACCTCCAGAAACCCCTCAATACGAGAATTCGTTCAGATGGAAGTTCAACTGCAAAAACATTTTTTTCGATTTTTTTATCTTAAATTTGACACGCTGTATTCCGAAAAATGTCCACTTTTTCAATAGACAAATTAAGAAAATCATCATCTTTTCACTCCAGAAATCTGTGGTAGGACTTTGTACAGTCATTTTACAGATACTCTGCACTTTTGTATGAAAATTTCTTTTACTTTTTCAAATTATACGAGACAGCTACCATGGAAATGAGCAGAAACTTTCCGAATTGAAAGTGGAAATAAAATGTATGAGAACAAATGGCCAGTGGCGCTCCACAAACTTTTCTGAATTGAATAAGCATGACCTTCGAAGAAATATCACCATGTACGTCTTCGCATTGTCTGCAGTATTTAAAAACTCATGCATCATCATCGGTAATTTGAGATAAAAATAAACGGAAATTATCACGAAAGCTCTAGAAGCTGTGAGGGCAAAAATATCCCCAAAATGTGCACCCGCTCTACTTATCTCGAAAAGGGCGTTTCCCAGCAAAGTTAAGTTAAAATACAGTGCACCATCGGCTGGCAAAGATTTGCTAGTATTAACTGACTCGCCCTGTATAAGAGTGCGTTTTGCTTTAACCGAACCCAGAGTAAATTGAGCTTAAATTAATTCGCAAATGTCTGTGTAATTAAAAAAAAACAGTAATTTAGGAGGTTATTTATTTGGGCCAATTTAGCAAATACAACCGACTGCTCAGTCTCCGCCATCCGCACCAAACAGGCAAAACAGGTGGCAACCACAAGCGAGTCCAGTTCCGCAACAAGCGCCTCCTCAACAACCTTTCATGCAGCAATCTCCTGGTCAGCAATTTGCTCCCAGGTATATACCAAAAAAACCAAATTAAAAACAGTGCAGCTAAATATATTAAACAAATGTTCACACAACAGAACACCTCAAGCGCATCAACAGCAATCTCCCAGATCACCGCCAGCTCAACAGCCCAACTCATTCCCTGTTCACATTGAAATTCGCACGATTCCCGGTCAACCGGATCAGGAATCTGGACAGAGAAATCCAAATGCTGTTTACATTACTCAGCCCCTTGTCTTGCAACATCCTGGTCCCCTAATTGAGCCACCATACAAAGGTAGGTGCTTTGTTCCAACTTTCAACAAAATTTCAGCATCAATAGGTTTCAAGATACCATTCGTCTTGTTCCAGGCCAACCAAGGCCTCAACAATCCCCACAGCCATATCAACAACAGCAACCGCAACAATATCAACCACCTAGACAAGTGTTGCAACAACAGGCAAACGTGGATGCTTCGGGTGCCAGGATTATTCCCATTCAAGTTGAGGGCAGAACAACTCCTTCTACACCGGGTGCTGAAAGGTAAGCACTTGACTTTGGTGAGCACATGCGTGCTCTTTTTTACAATTGGAAAATGTGTTATTTGAGGAATCTGAGCCGTCAACTTAGCTCTGGAAGTCAGCCACCGCAATCCAGTTCTTTTAAAGTAATTCAAAAGATGACTAAAACGGACGACGAAGAAGACGATACTCCTTTAACCCAGCATTCTGCGCGATACACCCAGGAAATGCCCGAACAAGTCAGAAGAATGAAAGTTAACGATAATAGGAATTTTAGACAAGGTACGTAATCATTCACATTTTGCTTCCAATTTTTGCAATAATAACAATATTTGCACTTTTTTAAGCCAGAAAAATTTTCTCATCATAAAAAATCGAATATATTTAAATTTACCTGGTTAGACTTTTGCGCGTTTTCTAACTTATTTAGATTTATTGCCACAAGCTACTTGGCAAACACGATTATTGTAAAAAATAAAAATTGAATTTTATTTTAGAAATATTTCAATTTTGCGACGAGGAAAATCCTAGATTTAGAGGCGGCACCATTCCATCTGAGCTGTTTAAGTTTTTGGATCAGACTGGTATATTCACAGCTATTTAAGGTGGTGGTCCTTAACTTATTCGTGCGGCTTAAGGCTGCAATTCCATTCCATTAAATCACATTTATATTTTTTAGGTGATTCTGCTTCGGAATTGCTTGTTATTGATTGATTTGTTCTTTTAGGTCCTCAACAACCGAACAATGTTAATAGGAATGTTCCTGTCCAAGCTGAAGGTAAATATTTCTTATAATTTAAGCCTAAACCAAAGGTCTTGACCTTCGTATTATTATTTTAAATACAATTAAATCTCTCAATTTTTTAAATTAATACGTTCATATTAAAGTTACTGGGTATTGCCCTGAGAGTAAGTTGCAGAACGGGAAGAACTAAGTGCCTACAATGTAATTTTTTTTAAATGCATTGAATTTCCAATTCCTTCTAGTTCTGCACTTTAGACAAATCTGGTAGCTTTAAAGCCAAATAATTTAAAATGTCTTTCTGGCATCCAATTATCATTGTTTTGAAACACTCACTGTGTGCTTATGGTAGATCAAGATTTGAGAAAATGCGTTTTTTACTTGTAGTGTTATTGTTTTATATCTGTTAGGTAATGGACAACAGCAATATGTTCATCCTAGTGAGCAAGTAGTACCTGAGCCAAAAAAATACATGGGAAGCAACATCCCGAGTAGATCATTCAAAATATTGCAAGCGATGACCGCGCCGGCAGATAGTAGTGGTAAGCTGAATGAAAAAATGTGTTTATAGAATCCAAACAAACGAGAAATGATTAAAGATCCTCAGTTCTTTAGGATGGGAACATTTTATGTTTATGATTCATGTCATCATGTTTGTGTTCATTATCAATTTTAGTGTAAATGCGAGCTACTACTTATGCCACACAATTTGATCTTGGAATTACAAAATAGAGATTTCATGCGTAAGAGTAATAAGAGATCGCACTCGCAGTTTTTTTCAAAAGATGTTAAATATTCTTCGATTCTGCTTCGAATTCTGCATCTACGGGAACTTCGGGATTCTTCTCATTAACCTTAACACTAAAAATAATATTTGCGGACATCGTTGCGATGGACCGTTTGAATTAGGGACTTAACCCCATCCCTAATATTTGTTTAATTTTAGTCGTCTTGCCTGCTTGCAACCTCTTATTACTCTTTGGTCTACCTGCATTTACAAATATCGGGGAATTACTTAGTCAAACCATTAGTAGGGAGCTTTTCAGTAAGATTTTTTTAAAGCGTCAAAATACCCAAAGGATTTATTAATGGTTCTATAGGGCTTCAATCTTCGAAGGCTCGAAAATTACTTGGATTAGAAATTTCGTTTGGGTTGTATATACTTATACTGTTCAGATGTGAACTTATTTTACAAAAATATTCTTACATATCCAAGCTGGTTTTAAAAAATTATTGTCATTTTTTAATAGATCATCAGATTTTTGATATATTTGAAAACAACTTGAGTCTCTTTGGTGTCTGTAATTTTTGGTTGACAATATATGCGAACAAAATTAAAAATACTTGTTCTTCTTTTTCAGTCGATTAGGAAAATCGGTTGGGAAGATAGAAAAATAAACTAGAATGTAGTGTTTATACTTAAAAAGATTTCAAATGCTTCTTTGACAATAAATACGGAAAAGAAAATTTTTTTGATCTCTACAAATCTTTTGGAATTGGGTTCGCTAAATAATGAACCGAAATTTCGTTGTTTCCAAACTTCACTAGGCTCATTCACGAAAAAAAGTAGTCTGCAGAAAAGCAAAATGGGTGAAATCGGGAAGAAAAGCAAATATTATATGCATTTTTCACTAAGCTAGGTTTATCTCGTGGAACTAACGAGTTGCAAAGCTTCTTTAGCTAAACTTTAGCTGAAGCCTTTGAACGAAGGGGTGCATTTGTGAACAAACACAACAAGCACAAGAATCGCAATAAACTGCAGGAATGATAGAGAAATAATATTCGTCGTGTTTAGGCTATCTGTTTATCGTTTTGCGCAAAGACCCGGACCGAATAGAAATAACTGTTCCGTTCCGGTTTCGGTCCAAAGCAACATTTTAAATTTAGATTTCAGCACGGTTCCGGTTTATAAAATATTTTCCAATTCGGTTCAGTTTTTTTCTGTTAATTTCGGTTCTAAAATCCATATAGTGCAACGAACGAGACCAATGATAGAAGCTTGTATTTTACAAGATGCACAAACGATCCACTGTTTCATACTGTACAATAATGTACAAGTATATAAGGATTGAAATTAAGGTAATATTAAATGGAACAACATTGAAATAAAGACTCCCATATAAAAAAAATGTTATCATGGTATTTTTGAAAAGTTTTTTTTCCTGTGATTTTTGACTAACGCGTTTTTCTTAATTCCGTAAATATTTTTTCTCTAGTTTGTGCCCTTACACTCTTAGCAATCTTTTTAGGACGAGTTGGTTTTGTTGGGAATTCCAATTTCGAATTTTTTGTTGTTACTGATCAAAAAACTAAAATAATTCAACTTAAAAAATTATTTAAATAGTAGTTTATAAACGTATGGTGTGTGTTCTTTGCATGTACGAGTATAACACGGGATCATAAGCTTTTTCTGGGGTTTCGTTCTACTTTATAGGAATTTTAAATAACTTACATTTTTTTAAGGGCTATAAATGAACCATGTGAAGAAAATTCATGCTGATTGACTCCTCTTAAACCCTTTTGCTTTGAAATTGTATGTCTTAAAAATGCTTTCATTTAATCGCTTAATGAAGAACCAGATGGTTTCGTTTCCATATCGTGTTGGTCTGGGTTGGATACAGAATTGCAAGAATTGCGCTTTTCTAAGAACACAAGTCTAATCCATAACGATCATTCATTATTTTACAGAATAACTTCTCTTTCCTCCATTTTCCTGAATATAACTGTAGCAATGGAAGAACCAGTTTCCTTTAACTGTTATAACTAACAACTACTAATAACAAAAAACTTATCATTCACGAATAGCGTTAGAAACAAAGTTCAAAACTCACATAAACAAAAGTTGAAAGTTTTAAACAATCTAAATTATTGTAGATAAGTTCTATATTGTTGAGGTGGATTCATTTTTTTACAAACTTCTTTTTGGGTATTTTGCCTCAAAAATGTTTGTCTTTAAAAAAGACAGAATTTCCTCACGTCTTTTATTACAGATTGATAAATA